TCTCTCTTTCTTTTTTTTTTTTTACACAGAGGAATAGAAGATAGTCCAATAGTAGTTATAAATAGCTGAGGAAATAACAGCGCTGTTTCCGTAGTTGTCCACTCTCTGCATATTGGTAGAAAGCAATATTAAGCCTTATAGAAAGGAACCCTAGCTTGGACAAACCTTGCTAAATAATCAGTGTGGCTTTCATTATTTTTAAAAAATTCTTTTATGCTTGTCTTCTGGAATATTGTCTCGCACACAGACCCAGAGCTGGGAGGTACAGTGGTGCCTCGCTTAGCGATGTTAATCGGTGCAGCAAAAATCGCTGCTAAGCGATTTTTAAAAGCCCATAGAAATGCATTAAAACACGTTTAATGCGTTCCCGTGGGCTTAAAAACTAACCTTATGCAAAAATACTCCATTACGGTGGCCATTTTTGGTGCCTCTAAAGCGAGGCAAAACAACGGGCAGCCATTTTGTTTACCCGGTGGCCATTTTGGAACCGCCGATCAGCTGGCCGAAAATGAGGGCTTTGCGATGATCGCTTCCCTGCGATCATCGCAAAGCGAAATTTCCCCATAGGGGCCATCACAAAGCGATGACTCTTGCGATGGCAAAAAGTCCATCGCAAAGCGATTTCATCACTATATGGAGTGATCGCTATGCGAGGCACCACTGTACTGTATACTTGATGTGGCCATTCTTACCAAAGGTTAAAACACTTGCAATGGTAAGGGATAGATGGTGTCTTCCCAGGCATCTGTTACTGGGAGTAAAACAGGAAAAAACAGTGGGAGCTAATCAACAGTTTTCACAGTAGAAAGGAGCATGATAGTATGTATATATTTGTACTGTGTAACATTTTTAGAAAGCAATGGCTGCTAGGAGTGGATAAGGAGTGACCAACTTCTCCAGATGCTATCCATTTTTTCAATTCAAATGTGAAGTAGTACACACCTCTCTGATATGCTTCTGAAGCCTTTTTACTACTGTGATCAACATATGGAATTCATGCATTTAAGCTGTGGTGATAGCCTATGCTTCAGTGGCCTCAGGAAAACACAAATTCTTAAAGACGTTGGAAACCAGGGCCTGCCAACAAAAGGAATTACAGGTGCCAGAATGTTTTTTATGCCAGCACTGGATGACGGGAAAGGCAGGTATCATTTTCAATAGGCAAGGGAAATAAATTTTTCTACCACAGGTAGCCTCAACCTTTAGACGTCATGACTGTAACCACCAGGCCAGTTTCAGTAATTGTGCTGTGCATCTCCAGCTGAACTGCAGTCACAAGTTCCAGTCTATAACTCTGTTGACAGAGCTCCTTGACCATATTTCTTTATAGGGAGGTCTCATTTGGGGTTCTCTTCAATTCCCAACTTCCAGAGTTCAGCCCATATATGTACACCCACAGACACCTTTATTTTACTCCTCTCGAGAAGGGCTTAGTTCCAAGGCTGCACAACCTGGCTCCAGACTTGCTTCCTGTTGTGAGTTTACCAAAAGAAAAGAAAAAAGTACTCCATAACTTTGTGGGAGTGATAGGTGTCTAGGAGGGGCCCTCTATAGAGGTTTAAGGGCAGCAAGATTACTACTACTGTGAAGCATCTTTGGACTTAGACCCTTCTCCAGGTGAATGAAATGTAGGTATCTGTTGGTATGGGTTTGCAAGCTGGAACTCCCAAGAATTCTGCCTGGTGAATTCTGAGGAGTCCAAAAAAAAAGTCACATCCTTCTTTTCATTTTCCTACCCACACCCTCAAAAGAGGGGGGGTAGTCTCATTATTTCTACTGAAGCAAGACTTCAGTTTAATGTCTCCTGTTATAGCCACGATTCAAGTTAGCCTGAACTAGAGTCCGTTAATAACACCTGGACTGACTGTTTTTCACTACCATTTTCAATAGGACTTTGATCCAAACCAGGATCATGTCCTGCAGCTTTTACTATATAATACTAGGATAACAGTGCATGGAAATGTTCTCCTGTCACAAACTAACCATGGTCCTTTTCCATTTTGTTTAGAAAGTAAATTGGCACTTTTATTCTCTGCAGTCTGCTCCTGCAACCGAGCGTTAATAAAATAATGGGGTTAATGTTGAAGGAAACACCACCACCACAATTTTCCTGGCATGGTGGGGGTGGGTTGAGAATGAGCACGGTAAAAAACAAATTCTAAAACCAAAGCTCATGGAATCAGCACTGGTCATATTTACATCTCTGGAAAGAGCCAGTGAGCTCTGGTCCTGCAAAACCCTGGAATTAGCCTGGACACACAGCACAACACACCCTGTTAGCGACAGTGTTGTCCCCTCTCGAGGGTGCGGGGAGAGGTTTTCCCCATCTCTCAATCCACTCAGCTCCTAGAAGGAGTCCATTGGAATGTCATTCTCTCATGCCAAAGGTCGTGGCCTTTTCTCCCCTGCCCCCCCTTCCCTTCCCTTCCCTTCCACTCAGCTTCGTGGTGGGGAGCGGTGGCCTGTCCATGGCTTAGAGCGGTGCTGGTGGTGGTGGTGATGGCGCCGGCTGCTGCTGCTGCTGCTGCTGTGGGAGTAGAACGGAGGACTCGTGGTCCAGTTCAGAGACTGCTGGATGACTCTGGACCAGTCAGCCTGTTGTTCAGAGTCCCACAAGGTCGGTGAGGCATGAGACTGACGGCCACTCCGACCACGCCGTGTGTCCTGGCCTCTGCTGAGCTGCCGCAAGTAGCTCTCGCAGATCCCAAGGGCAGGAGGCTCCTCCTGGTTTATGGCCCCTTCAAGCAAAGCCCGTGGAAGTATGTGCAAACGAAGGCGGCGAAGTGTGTGGCGGAATCGGTTCTCTGTGCCTACACACTGGTACAGCCCACCATCCGCAGGTGTCACCGGGCCTAAAAGTACACCCTGGGGTGTTCGCAGCAGGACACGATCCCGGGGCAACTGAGAACAGAACAGAGAGTGAGATAGTATGGTTCTAACAAGAGAATCCATTGTCCTCTAAATAATTTTGCAGCAATTTGTTAGCTGCCTTTTTGAGAGGGAACCAGGCTTTTCTTATCACTACAGAACAAATATTGACAAGGGCAGACGGGAAGAGGGGCTTACCACTTTGCGCTTGTCAGAATCATCGGTTTGCACAAGCCACTTGATGGATGCATGAGGAGATTTTGGTTCACACTCAAGAAACACGCTCCCTCCTTCTAGCCCATACTGAATCTGTTCGCGTAATTGCTGCTCTACTGTGATAAAAGAAAAATGAGTCAAAGGAAAAGCCCAGGATTCTTTGTGTTGTGCATCCACAGCTGTATTTTCTGTAAACGCTGCAGATTTGACAGTTTGGTGAGAACAGTGGTTTTGCTACAGAAGTATTTAGGTCAGGAATCCTGTAGTCATCACACCATGGTTATGACAACATACAAGTAAATTCTCACTTTCAGCTTAAGCATTTCCTTTCCTCCAAGAAATAATTAAGAGAACACAGAGTAGGGTACTTAATTATTGTCCCACAGTAAAAGGAGATGAAGTGGAAAATTCCCAATGAGTGAGGAGCAGAAAGTGTAGTCTTGAGTCTGTTGGAGATCAAGGGGTACACCTGCACACCCAGAACAATATGCAAACAGACAGTGGGAAATAAAAAAAATAAGGGAGTCCAAAGCCATTCACAGGTTCAACTGTTTGTGCCTGCCAAATAAGGAAATCTAGCTCATTAAGAAGTCAATTGGCTAGGAAAAGCTACTCTTAACTTCCAGATTCTCCAACCCAACTTCTGCACTGTGCTTCTTCCTACCAGAAATTAAGTGCCACTGAGGTCAGTGGCATTTACTCCCAATAAAGTGTGCAAGTATGGGAGCCTTCTTCAGGTGGCTGGGGTGGCATGAACCAGTGCAGCTCTGACTTTGTCCCCCTCCTGAAAAACGATTGCCCACATAGCAGGTAGGCTTTTTAACAGCAGAAAAGCTAGTGGTCAGGATGGGCAACTCAACTACAGGCTCCCCACCCTCAGGGCAAAGGTGGGTGTATTGTGATCTAAAAAGGAGAGGAGGCAGCTAGTGATCCACATGCAGACACACCCTGCCTCTTCCTCCACTCCCCCTTCCGCAAGAGTACTTGGGAAATGATACCCATGAGGGAGAGAATAGGAGGGTTCTCCCCCAGCTTTATTGTATTGTTGAGTGAGCTGGAGCAGTTCCAGAGGGAGAAACCAAATTGACCCTATTTGCTCTTCGTGCACTAACCTCCTCCCACCAAGCTGCTCCCTCCATGCAATAATTATAAGCTTGGAGGAATAACCTCCCATTGGCTTCCAGGCCTCTTTGTTGTGCAAGTGACAGAGTGCAGTGGTGAGAGAGGGGAATTATGTGAGATAATATGAGGAATGTGTGTGTGTGTGTAGGTTGTTTTGCTCCTTTTCAAGTTCTAGCTTGGGCCCAATCCACCACTGACACACAGCTTTGCTTTCTCAAGGTTTCCCTTTAAGGAAAGCAGTCCGTAGGGTTTAAAAAAAGAAAAAAAGATTTAAAGCTTTTTTTAAAAAAGCTGATGAGCTGCATTAAAAAGCACTACGTCATTATGAACTGTAACAGGGAAGCCAGCTTTTCTGACCACCCCCTCCACATTCTCACCAGTGCTTCTTTCCAAGGATCATTAAACAACAACATGAGCTCGTCCTTCTGATCTAGAATAGATCTATCATTATCAGTCTTCCATGGAAAGTTCTGTTAAACTGCCAGGAAAATGGTAAATATGCTGGAAATCACCCTGCTCAGCAGAATGTATACTGGACTTGCTACAGCTAAAAATACCAGACAGATCCTGGAAGAACTGATGCTGAATTTTGGACCACAGTTGGTTGTTCTTATCAAGATTTAGGAAAGGATTTCATGACACAATAAGAGCAGAGAACAAAATCTTCCAATCTTGTAGAAATTCATCATCCCAGATCACTGGAATTATGAGCAACATGATTTGATAACTTTTCACTAGTTAGGCAGGGTTGGCTCCTTAGAACTGGCCCAGCTGTCCAACTCTCAAGTCTTCTCCATCCCATTCTGTGCCGCCATGTATTTTCTACATTTTCAAAATCTGTAACATCTTTTCCGACACCTATTACAGTAATCGTCAACGGCAAACACTTATTTTGCTTAACAAATGAAAATCAGAAATGTGATGCATCTGTATTTGAGACCAAGGATGAGAGGACAGAAGCTCAAGTGTCAGTGACAACAAACCCAATAAGAACACAACAACAACAACGAGAAGCTGCCTGTTTTCGTATTCATCAGGCCTTTCTTAATGGACTACAATTGGTGTCCCATTTCGTCAGGGTCCTCATCGAGTCCACAGGGCAGTGGAGGCCAGACTCACAGAAGCCCGAGCATCGGGTCTTTTTATTAAGAGGGATAATTCTGACATTATCTGCAATCCCACTCCTCTCTAAGCTGTTCTTGTAGTAATGGGGAGAAGGTGGGTTTTCGTGAAAAAAAATACACTGATTGGTGTGAGCTGTCCCTGCACTGATGTCCTTCAACGAGGAATTAAGATTCATCAGTTTTGCAAAAACCCCACTTCTGGCAGGAGGGGAAAGCTGCTAGAGCTGGTTTTGCTGACATGGAGCCACTTGGCAGCCCGAGGGTTGGAGCGCTTGTTGGCACACAGCTAGAGGGACTCTGACGCCCAGTTGCTGCCGTTTCAAAATCAGCCACTTATACCAGTGTATGCAAGCCTGTCTTCCACACCCAGCTTCTCCACATTTTGTGTGTGTGTGTGGCCATGGGAGGGAGGAAATTACTACCAATTATATCACATCATGGTGGGGATTTTATAACTATTATCCATGATACAGCACAGCAGGACAACTAGAGGACAAGCGCCACCACCCAATTCCTGTTGAAAATCCAAAGGATTCCTGCCTCCTTGGGGTTATGAAGTGGAGCCTGATCCATGCTAACTGCTCCAGCAGCTAAGTAGACATCATGGGAAGCTATTCTGCCTCTCAGTACTTTGATGGGTGTATGAAAGCTTCACTGTTACAGGCAGAAACAAAATTAAAATCTAGTAAGGCAGGTTGCTTGGGTGGCCACAGGCAGAAACGGGGTACTTATCCCTTAAATGATTGTGTGGAAGAGCAAGTGGAGCATGTGCCCCATGAGCTAGCCCTGCTGTGACATCCTCTTCTGCCCAAATACTGAAAGTATGTGAGGACACCTGCCCACTTTTGCATGTGGTCTTACTAAAACAAACACTCTGGAATCCTCACTCCCCAGCCAGTTGGCAGAAACCGACCTTCATCACTGCTGAGAAGGGCAAACAGTACTAGCACTAACACTAACTTCGGTCTTTAAGAACCCGGCGATCTGCCTCCAAGATTAAAACCTACGAATCCCGAGATCTGGTACCAAGCTGCCAAAGTAGGACAATTTTGCCAATTAACTCTTAAACAAAGGATTCTGTCTGGGAATCTTTTGCCTAACATTTGCTCCTATGGGTGCAGTCTTATTGCCAGAAGGAACTATGCTAATTGGCAGAAGGGCAAAAGGGACATCATCCTGCAGCTAACATGCAAAGCAGCATAAATTAAGTTGAGCAGTGCATTCTTTTCCCTGATCCTCTTAGCTGTCTCTCACTCTTAGGAAAGATATTCACAGTTTGGCCTATGCCACTGCCAAATCCCTTTTGGGAACCGGTACAGAGGGATAAAATCTTGTTCTGCAAGCTGGCCCTAACAGAAAAATAAACCTCACAAATCAGGGAAGCATCTTTGCACCCCACTGTCTTCCTCCAAATCACAGATATGGTTTCATTCACAGACCGGTCTGTCTGGAAAGCAAATGGCTCAGATATTTGGCCAGAAGCAGGTACTGTTAGCAACAAGGAAGTCAGGTTTAGGCCCAGATCCACTGAGCTGTAAGCAAGACCACTAAAGTCTAAGGAACTCATTTTCTGATCTATCTGGTTCAGGAGAGACTTTGCAGCTGGCAAGAAAGATTTATCTAAGAGGTTGATTAAATACATTGATATATGTGTTACTCTGTTGTTTTTATGCATCATTACTTTATATGTGCCTTTTATATATTACATTTGCTAACATAACATATTTTTGTGTTACATGCAGTAGGGCCCCTATATCCGTGGGATCAGTATCTGCTGATTTACTTATTCATGGTGTGAAAATATTAAAAATATTAGAAGACAAATTTCTGGAAATATATATTTCTAACAATGAAGTTACCAGAATGGGCCACGAGAGGGAGCTAGAGTCCATGGTATGTATAGTGTTTACTAGAGAAATAATTTCCACCATATCATCACAGAACTAGCCACTAGAGGGAGCCAGGGACCATGCTATGTAGTGTTTGCTATACAGTAATCCACGTTTTCCAGCACCTGCAGGGGGAGCTTGGAAACAATCCCCCATGGATATGGGGGTTCTACTGTCCTTTTTTACAATATGATCATGATTATTGTTATTTTACATATGCATTTTTATATGCAATTTTCTCCAAACACATTTCTTTTTGCAACATTCTCCACTATAGATGCATTTCTGAATGCAGTTTTTGAGTCAACAAACAACAGCACCGCAAGATCCAGAGAAGCACAGAAGCTCCATTCCGTGCCTTATTCCAAGAAATGCCAACTAGGTCATTTCACTTAATGCAAACCAAACTAAATTCTACACCAATCCTAGTGGCAAGACTTACCCATCATTTTATAGGAGTCTGCATGGTGTTATGGCAGTGGGAGAATTCGAGCTAGTCATAGGTATGCATTGCAATTAAAGCAAATCATACTGCGGGCTTCTGTTTGGAACAAGCCAAAATAACACTTCCCATTTGTGGGATCAGATTGCTTGCACCCATTCCTTCTTGCCATCTTTCTTTGGGGAGCACAGCCCTACTTCCCATTATTATTACCCTCCCAAACCCCTTCTTTCACAGAGGTGAGGAAAGTGGTGTGTGTTGTTTTGTTTTTTAAACTGCCACTCCCAGAATCTTCTCTTTATGAATCATGGGTCCCTTCTCTCTCTTCTTCCTGAGCAAACCCTGCCCCCAAACCCTGCTCACTCTGTTCCTATGTTTGGCAATGCAAATGCAGCTGTGTCTCCTCTTTTCTTATCTGGGATGACAGCTGGAACTGTCCAACTGTCCTAGGAACATGGGAAACTGCAGGTCAAACTATTTTCCCAGCTAGTCCAATACTGTATGCTCTGACCGGCAGAAACTCTCCAGAGTCAGAGAACAGCCATATGCTGCCTACTGTCTAAGATCTTTTCCAACCAGAGATACAGGGATCTTCTCTGTGGACTTCATGTACTTGGCCACAGAGTACATGATCTACAGTCCTGTCCCCATACTTAGCACATAGTTAAGCTATGGAATTCCCTATCACAAAACAACACTGGCTGCCAATTTGGACAGCTTTAAAGAGGGATCAGAGTAATTCATGGAAGATGGGGAGATCTGTGGCTGCTGGTCAACTCATGATGGATATATATTCCCTCTAGTTCCAGAGACAGTCTGTCTCTGTATACCAGTTGCTGGGGAACGCAAACAGGAGGGTGTTATGGCGCTCATGCCATGCTTGCGGGTTTCTCAGATGCATCCGGCTAGCCATGGCGGGAACAGCCTCAATAGGTCTTTGGTCTGATCCAACTCAGCTCTTCCTGTGTACTCTTCCTTCAGCAACAGAGTTGGCTTTGATGAAGCTGAGCGTCGTAGCAGCCAAACCCCATGAGGTTTTCTCGCAACCTTTATTACACTACCTCTCTTGCACAGCCAACGGCTCTGTTTTTTCCTCAAAGAGTGCGGCTGACCCAGGCGGGGTCCCTGATCTGAGGAGCTGGCATAACCTTTCCTCTTGTGGTGCTACAAACCGACACTTGCCTCTGCCTTCCCAACCCCCAGAGACAGGCGAGGGGAAACGTCCGGTTCCAGGCGCCTCTTCTGAGATCTGCCAACTCCTTTCATCGTTCACGAAAAGGGGAAAACACAACATTTTGGACTGAGGAGACACTGGGCCTTATTCTTGGGATGATGGTGGAGAGGCTTACCTTTGGCATTGAACCCTCTGCACTGCCTCAGGGGGTCACCGTGCTTGATATCCTGGCGACGGCTCCTCCTGAGGGAGAAGGGAGAGATCAAAATGGCTCCATTTCCCTTCCTGCTATTCTTTCCCAGACTTGCTTTGAGAGACAGGGGATATTTTTGAACAACCCTGAACCACAACCATCATAACAATCAGTGCTTATCTTATTATTTATCTGTGAAGTGGGTTTAGACCCAGCCAAAGCTCTCTGAGGCAAAGGCCAAGATGGCTGCCTCCTCCATTCCACGGCCAGCAGGCGTTTTACTTCCAACGTCAGCAACGGTCACTCCACTTGAAGGAATAAGGCATTCGTTTAGTGGGCACAGGACAGGCTCTTCACAACATAGCTTCTGAAGGCAGTTTATTAATTTATTATAATTAGTTTATTAACGTGTTTGAACTAAGTTGCTTTCGGTCTCTTCAGGGGTTGCTTTCCGCAGATAGACAGACAGACAGAGGCTCCCGTTCTTTCCTTGATGTTTATGCTGGAAACTCCCTAGGACAATGCTACCTCAGCAAAGAGCTTTCCAAACAAGGGGTTTTTGGACACCATTTTGGAAGCTGAAGTCCAAAAAAAGCAGCTTTTGGTTTATTAATACAGTACATTGGAACTAAGTTGTTCTCAGTCTTATCAGGGGTCAAGGACTACAAGAACAAGGGAAAGAGAAAGCCCTCTATAAAAGCAACTTGACAGCCAGTGTGACATAGTGGACAGAATGTCAAGACTAGGACACAGGAGACCTGGGTTCAAATCCCCACTAAGCCACTGAAAGTTAAGAACATGGAAAGTGGCACTGGAAAACCATGCCTTTAACATGTTACAGACCCCCCAGCAACCACACTTAGGGCCACTGTCAGTTGGAAGGGACTTGATGGCCCATAAGAACCAAGCTGTGAGGTCAGGAAAGCCTCTGCCCCTGCATTGCTTCTCATGGGTGGCCAGCCAAACGGGGGTCAGGTGCACTTGAGGAGATTTAATTGTTTATTTATTTAATTTCTATCCCGCACCTTTTCTCCAGTGAGCTCTGGATAGAGCACATGGATCCCCTCCTCTCCACTTCTCCTCACAACCACCACCCTGTGAGGTGGGCCAAGTTGTAGACATGGTCTAGAGGAGCGAGGAATAAATCTAAATAAATAAATAAATAAATAAATAAATAAATAAATAAATAAATAAATAAATAAATAAGCTGAGAGGAGGAGAGACTGGCCCAGGGCCCCACGGGGAGTTTCACTGCCAAATGATGATTTGAACCCAGGTTTTCCTAGGCCAACTCTCTAGCTACCCCGTTGCTCCGTCTCTCTGCCTTAAGCAGATTCACTTCAGTGGTCCTCTTAGACCCCCGTACCTTTTGGCCGTGTGGCTGTAGCGGGTGCAACGTTGCCCATCCCAAGCACAATAGGGGTCCCGGGCTAGGCAGCAGTCAGCGCAGGCTTCCCCATATTCACGGCACCGATGCAGACTCAGCTGGGAAACCCCCACATCGGAAGAGACGTACAGCTGTTGCTACACAACGGAAGAGGGCAGAACGATGCAAGGGAACTTACATGCTTTCTCATTACTCTCCCCATCTCCTGGGGCCTTTTTGGCCGCCATCAAGCCGAACCCAAGCCACCTGGTTCCCAGCTCCCCCTGCACAGGCAGCGAACCCCCATTTTTCATGCTGGGACCACCAGCCAGAAAGCTAACGTCCCACCAGTGCTCGGAAAAGTCACTTTCCTGGACTACCTGTTCTCAGGATCCTCCATCCACATGGCCATGGTCACTGGGGAATTCTGGGAGTTGTAGTCCAAAAAGAAAAGCTCTATGTTTCCAGATTCTGGAAACCTACCCGTTTAGAAGATATCCAGAGGGTCTTCACTGGAGCTGGAACCTATATGGCAAAAAAAAAAAAAGGGTGGGGAAAACAAAGCTTGAGAATGGCAGAGATGAAAGGGTTGGCACAGCCACAACAGAGAGAGAGAGAGAGAGAATCCTGGTGCCCTAGCTCGCTCACTCACCCTGAACGCCTCCACCTCCTCCAGGGTGAGTTCTTCCAAGACCCCAGGCTCCTTGGGCAGCACAATCACCTTCTGGACAGTGCCCTGGTCTGGAGGGAGAAGAACCAGATGTCAGCCAGACCATGTGCTTCTTCTTTCCCAGAACGCACGCACCATAAAGATTGGCCTCTTTTCAGAGCACTACATCAGTCTTCCTTGATTTGATAACAAGGCAAAAAAATTTTTTTTGGATCTTGGCGTCTTCCAGGTGTGGTGATTTACAACCCTTACTCTTCTTCCCATCATGACGATGGTGCCCAACACGGGACACCATGCACAGCATGGGTGAACAGTGTGAGGCCTGTGAACTACATGCAGTACCCCACCCGCACCCCACAAGCCCAAATGCAGGCACCTTGCAGCCTCAAATTGAGGAAAAAATCAGTCGCCCCCCCCCCGATGGCCCCAGAAGTTCTCCAGTGCCCTAGGAGGTGGAGGTGAGGTGGGGGCTTAATTTTGCCAGGCCTTCTTCTGCACAGCACCCTAGACCTACTCAGGCACTTGTTTTTGAATTTAAATGTATAATCTTGGCCTCTAATTTTTAGTGAAGAAAACTGTTATTCGTAAGATCTCCCCACCCCACTCTCTTGGGTAGTGGCATAGGGAGCTGCAGGGCCAAAGTGCAGTCCTCCAAGGCCCAAGGATGGGCCTGCGCAGCTCTTGAGGTGACTCCTCCTGACAGGCGGGACGGCTGCCCTCGAGGGCTGAGTCCTGAGGAAAACAGTCATCCCCACAACGACCTGCTCTTCTGTTGAATTCCTCAAACTAGTTCCTCCCACAGAGCCCCCTCCCTTTGAAGGCATATGGGGGGCAACAATGAGAGGGAAGCCCCCCCTTTTTAAGAGTGGCTCCCCATTTTTGCAATTCCCGTTCAGAAAAGCTCACCTGGAATAGAGATTTCTCTCTTGCTAAGAGACAGGCAAAGATCTCGCTATTTTTCAAGGCTGTCATATTTTGAGTTGCAATTGTTTTAATCATCCAGCAAACAATAATGTTTCCTTTGTTCGCAGAGCTTGGAAAACCTACATTTTTGGACTTCCTCAGGCAGGGGGAAGTCAAGGTTCGAGCTCTGCCTTACAGACATTGAATTTGGTCTATAGGTCTCAGTTGCTGAAGGCGGCAGGAAAAGAGGAAGGCCAAACAGGAGAGAGGGATTGACTGCATAGAGGAAGCTCCAGCTTTGCGTTTCCAAGGGCTGGGCAGGACTGTTAAGGACAAGACATTTTGGAAGTCCCTCATTCATAGGGTGACCACAAGCCAGAGGTGACATGACCACGCATAACAACATTTTTTGATGTTCAAATGAACGTGTTAATAATCCAGAGTCCTGTCAAGGGAGGGACTGCAGAACTTGCTATGGCTAACTGGCATGGTGCTGGACCCTTGTGAGTCGCATGACAGGCCATGCACCAGGGCCCTCATCAATTGGATACAGTGAGTTCTGTAATCACTTCCATACATAGCCACAGGATTCTGGCCTCTCTATCCAGAGAGAGCACTTTGGTCATAGGTGGAAAATTACTCCGTGTGATACTGAAGCACCTTTCCAGCACCAATCAGTGAGGCCCGGCTTGATGTCAAGGGCTGAGATTTTACATTGTTTTGTCTGTTTGTATTGGGAACTAAGGCTTAGCAATGCTTCTCAGAACACACTCGCACCCAGTTGCACAGCTGGCTCCTTCCCAGAGCGGCAAAGTCAAACCCACATTTCTTGGGCATACCCGTGCCAAGAAAGAGGACCTCATAGCGCCCATCCACGGCATCCACCAGGTCAACAGCCAGTGTGGTGAAGCTGTAGGGTACATTGGTCCTCACCAGCAGGGGGCGGCGTTGCAGTGGATAAACAGCATTGTACATCAATGGGTGGGCGCGGACAAAGGACACCAGGTCATCCGAAAACTCCCGCGTGGAACGAAGCCCTGGGGTGAAAGTCCCTCCCGGGCACTAAAAGAGAAAGGCAAGCTGTAGAGATAGAGTAGGAGAGAGAGAGAGAGAGACTCTACTACATAGACGGTTACTTTTAACAAGTTAAACTTTCTTACTGTAGCAGCTCCGTGAGACCAACAAGTAGTTAGTTATCATTATGGTTCTTTTTTTTAAAAGTAACTTTATTTCCCCACTTCTCAGAAGTAATTGAAGGAGTAACATTAAAATTATAGCTGAATGCTACACGTTGCAGGCCAGCAGTACCAAATACGCTCTTCTCTCATCACGTCATCATCTGCAATATTGTGTATGAGATTATGGCACCTGAAGCCAGTTACATTCCTTCTCCACCATCCATGAGGTTGCACTTCTCTAATATAACTTGTAAAGATTATAGTTACACTAAAAAGATGTGATATCACTCCTCATTACATTGCAGTTATAACGTACTATAGTTATCCTTTTCTTACTAGAACAATGTTTTCCTTACCAGAAAAAGTAAAGAGTATATTACAATAGAATATTGATTTGTAACAAGTTACATCCAGACTCAGGGAGCTGGGGTGGGGGAAGGAATTAAGAGTAGTTTTTTTATGCTTATCTGCTTGAACCGGAGTGCAAAAGGGATGCACCGCTAATTGTACATAAGGAAGTATTATTCAGGAGTCGAGGGCAACAGAATGAACACATGTAATCAGGAAATGAACTCTGGGCATAAGGCCAACCGGGACATCAGGGGAACGGGAGGTCTTGATGACTCACAGCTCCAGGGCGAGGGTAAGGCACGCGTCCGGTGTACGGGCCCCACTGGTAGTTGTGCCCCTCTTTGTGGGCAAAGGGCCCATTGAAGACTGTGCGTATGTCGGCCATGGAGTAAACACAGACGGCTGAACCGCGGAAGACTGACCTTGGGGAAGGAAGAGAGGCGGAGACACAAGAGGAAGGGGTGCTTAATTGTGCGGCCGGTTGCCCAGGCCAAGCCTTGCAACCCAAAGAGTCGCTTGGTGCTCACTCACCCCAAGGTGGAAAAAACTCCATAAACCAATGGATGCTTCTCATCCTGAGTCGGCAGTAAGAGAACATCACCTGGCGGGGCGGGGGAGAGAACAAAGAAGCCGAGTGTCTTGTGAGAGGCATTGCACCTATAGCTAATCTCAAAGCACGCTCTTGCCTCAGCTGCCTTCACCCCACTCCTAGGTGCTTCAGTGTTGTGCTTACTTGAAGGGGACAATCACGGAGAACAACCACGGCAATACTTTGGTTTCTTTACAGAAACCTAACCCAATGGCCAGATGCAAAACTATCACCCACTGAAATGGTCATAGACATGCTTTGGGCAGACTCTCACAGGGGCTGAGTGAAAGTCAGTTCTTGGAATTACAGCTCTCCCAGAAACAGCACCAGCACCAGCACCAGCAGCACAGTGCCTCTGCTTGGAGGAATTCTAGGCGCTGCTGCCTCAACCTGTTTTAGTGAGAGAACTCCATGAGGAGCTCATGAGGAAAGAACCCTGTCAGTTGGCCGTTCTCTGGTACATGTCTTCATTGGTCCCAGTGTTAAATAATTTGTGCTACAACTTCCTCTAAGGAAAAGAAGAAATAATAATAATTTTAAAAGACAACAGCATTGTGGTACCTTGAAGACAAACTATTATACTATTATATATGTAAGCTTTCGTGGGCTTTCTTAGCCCACTTTGTCAGACGTATTAAGGTGGAAAACAGGGATTACCATGAATGTTTTGCAGTCCAGCATGAATGTTTCCCACCTCACGTGTCTGGCAAAGTGGGGGGTGAGAAAGTCCACAAAAGCTCACATTAAAATATAATAGTTAGCTTTTAAGGTGCCGCAACACTTTTGTCTTTTTAATTTTTTTCTTTTGTTTTAGATCGATACGCTTTGCACAGATGGCTAAAACTCTTCTAAAACTTTCTCTAAGTGTCCAGACAGAGTTCTGTTTCTCTCCCCCCCCCAATCTTACTAAACCATGAGTTGCCCTCCAGCAGTGAAACATCAACCCTCATCACCAGCCTCAGCCTCAAACATACTGTGGCCTGAGGCCGAGTGCAAGAAGGTCACCCACCCCTTTCTCATTCCCTGTTCAGGAGCAGAGCCTACTGTCAGCTCAGTAACACAGGCAAGCAGGAGAACATCCATTACATGCCTTGAGGGAACCAAACCAGTGTAGGAATCCCAGGGCAGGCCTAGTGGCTCCTTTCCCCACTTGCTCACATTGTCCAATGGATGAGCCTGCCCTGCTTCTCTGTCCATCACGAATGCAATCACTAACACCCCGTTTATTCTTGCTCTCCCAAACCAAGTCCCTCTACCAAAAAAGGATGCTCACGGAGTTCATCAAAGAAGGTCTCCACGCCATCATCTCCAAGCACAGAGCAAACCAGGCGAGCTTTGAGAAACGTTGTCCACTTGTTCACCAGCGAGCGCTGTCCCCCATCGTCATTCTGGGGGGGGGGAAGGGAAAGGAAAGATGCTCCTAACAGCCCCAAGCATCCACTGGATCCCCCACGCGCACACACACCCCGACAGAGCCATGCGTTCCTGCCTATATCCCCAGCATGTGGACGGGGAAGAGGAAACGTAATATTTAATGAGATCGTTTGAGGGGTGATGGGGGGGAGGAGAGAAGATATTGCAAGGAAGTTTGAGCTGCAGGAAAAGAGCAGCAACAGAAAACAAACTGAGAACTGAGGAGCTCTGGGTTGAATCCACAGACTTCCAGAGATCCCCAGTCAGCATGGTCCCTGTCTATGGCGGCTGGGGCGCTGGTGGTTCCAGACGTTGTTTTCCCCCAAAAAGGAACTTTCCCAACCCATTAACCGGAGATCCTTCAGGGCCTCCGACTCTATCTTTAGCTTGGCAGCTAGTGGCAAGAGAAATAATTACAGCTGTTGCCCACACAAGAGGCAAGCAGACACCCCTCAGAGGGAACCCCCCCAAAACCTCCACATCCTTCTCAGCCCCTGCTTCAAGCAAAAGACCTGTCCGGGTGTCAGCCCCAGTCCACGCACTGCTCACCAAGCAAACCCGTCCCACCCGAGCGAGCACAGCAGGCCCCACGGCACCCTCAAGGGCTTTCTCCCGGAAAAAGAAGTACAGTTTGTCATCGTTGTGGTCGGAGCTGTCGGGAATGATGTGGGCTTGGAGGAAAACAGGGTCTGGAGCAAGGGAGGAAAAGAGGATTTTACTGTCTTTGGCCATTAGGTGACGTCCGCAAACACTTCTAGCCAGCAGTGGGCGTGACCTCGTGGGCAGGTGATCCGCCACATACCCAGTTAAAAATACGAGATAATACCACCCTCAAGTGTGTCGTATTCATGCAGCCCCTCCCCCAGTCTATCCAGGTTTTACTGCCTTTGGCCATTAGGTGATGTCCGCAAACACTTCTAGCCAGCCACGTGACCTCGTGGGCAGGTGAGCCACCACATACCCAGTTAAAAATATGAGATAATACCACCCTCAAGTGTGTCATATTCATGCAGCCCCTCCCCCAGTCTATCCTTTGGAATAGTTACTGTATATGTTTTGATGCAGGAACTGGAGAAGAGGCAGAAGTGTAACATGAAATAAGCATGCCACCACCTATGAGTGCGGTTGCACTCAGATCACAGTAAGGCACCCATGTTTTCAACCCATTCTTTATATATGTGGGTCAGAAGCTTCCTCCTGGTTCTGAATTCCACCCATTTTGTTCCAATGTTCTGTCAGTCTGTCCCCTGTGTCCACCCAACACTCTGCCTACTCTTTGTGCTCTCTACTTGTCCTCCCTTTCAGCGTTCTCTAGTTGATGCTCAAACTGCTACCATAAAGCCAGCGGGAATCATGTTGCTCCGTGCGCACAGCTGGGCGAGGCCCCATGGTACGGAACAGGGCGGCGTCAGTACCCATGAAATCCACATGCACTCCCGCATACAGTGTGTTATCTAAGGAGGGTGGGAAAAAGAAAGAACACACAGGATATCAATTGAACATAAACATGGACACACAGGTGTATATAGTTCCAATACCATCCTGAGGGACCAGGAGTTGTTAGTACGGGAACACTTCTGGATTTTTTATGGCTACTAGACCTCCAGTAGTACACAGTGGTATACAGTATGCTGCTGTATACAGGTAAGAACTCTCAATGTTACTTTTTTTAAAGGAATTTGTGCTCCTCATTGCTTCTCTGTATTCAGGTTATCATTAGTACTGTTCCTATCACTCATGAATAAACTGAAAGATTCATGATTTGTTTTTTTCACACATTAGCATATTCCATCAGCCAGGTCAGAAAAATACAAGGAAATACTCTCTGGTTCTCTCTAGTGGCCATGTCTGATATTGCAACTAAAAGTACAGAATATGTAAGAAAAAGTACAATGGATAAGATGGGGCATAACATTTTTAAACAGTCAAAATGTCTCCAAACATATCTTTAAAATAACATTTTTGGGGGGGACTTTGGTGTTAACAGATGTTATTCATCACACCTAAAAATGGAACTTTGCAACTACTATATATATTGTTATTCAAAAAGCAACTGGCTAGTTCTAAGCTCTGATACAAGTTGCTGGATTCCGCTAGTAGCCAGGTGCTCTTGCCTACAAGACATGCTCGGACGCATCCCAGAAGCATCTGGTCAGCCACTGAAAGGACGGACCACAGAACAGTGACTCAGATTGGTCTGAGAACAGCAGCAGCAGCACCATGGTTTTTCTTGTGTTCTTCCATCTGAGACTGTCCAGAACTATTGCCCAGCCTCATCTATCCTCACCGTGAGCAGCTCTGCAGGGTGTGAGATAGAAGTCTCTTCAACTCAGCTATCCAAAACTTTTTACCCTGGAGATGTCAGCAGTGGAACACAGGACTTCTTCCATCCAAAGCATGTGATCTACAACTACAGTGGTGCCTCGCTTGACGAGGATAATTCGTTCCATTCAAAACACTGTTAAGTGAAACTGTCGTCAAGCAAAAGTAAAAATCCCATTGAAATGCATTGAAAACCGTTTCAATGTGTTCCAATGGGAGAAATACCTGAGTGTGCAGTGAAAATCCTCCATAGGGGCAGCCATTTTCTGGTGCCTGTAATGTGAGGAATCCATCCTAAAGCACAGCGGGGAACCATTTTGCACAGCGGGCGGCCATTTTGAAACCCGGCGATCAGCTGTTTTTTATCGTCGTTAAGCAAAAAATCAGTTCCCGAAGCAGGGAACCAATCAACGTTAAGCGAAAAAAGCCCATTCAGTCAGCGTTTAAGCAACCGCAATAGCGATCGCAAAAAACTAATTGTCAAGCGATTTCCTCGTCTAATGAGGTAATAGTCAAGGAAGGCACCACTGTATGCTATGGCTCCTTGGTGTAATAAAGCAACTGCTCCTCTTGCAACATCCTTATCAGCTATTTGTTCTCCACCAATCAACTCCTTAGGGCTAAGCAGCTCTTTTGTCTTTTCACCTAATGCAGCTATACCTACTGAATATGAGAAGACCAGACAGACAACACAAGTTCACAGGGTCTCCAACTCCACGGGGCTGCATATGGCCACATATATCGTGAAAGGCAAGATGGGTCATGCCTACCTACAGTTTATTTTTAAGTCAGCCAAAACTTAAAACTTGGAAGCCGGTGAACACGGAACAGCTCAGGATGTGCAAAAGCACTGTACTTTATTGGTGAGAGGATGGTGGCATCCTGCCTGCACTTACACACAGCCACTTACTGACAAGAACAGCCATGCTGTGCTGCCGTGGGTCATAAGGGCACTTCCCCTTTCCTGGCTCCAGGGAACGAGGGACCATGCGGAAAAGGTATTCCTTTGAAGAAACAAAGTGGGGGGGGGGGGAAGAGAGAGAGCATGAAGGCTAGAATGGAAACCGACCTTGAATTCAAGTCCCCTAAGTCCCGGCTGAAGTCAACACCTGGTATTGAGGAGACACAGAAGAGAGTTCCACCACCATTCTGCTTCTCGGCTTGCATATCTTCCCCCTTTTCTTTCCCCTTAGAATACCTTGCATCATACCAAATCCGGCTACTTGATACACCAAGCTCACTCTTGCCTACGTACAGTACTTTTCTACAGGTGGACAACATGTGCAGATCCAAAAGCCACAGATGCCTCTCCCTGTACCTTGGGAGAGCTTCCCCCCCCCCAAAATAATCACCCCATTAAAAAATTACTACATTTTAAATATGAATCCAGATTTGTGAGGTCTAGTGGCAAAAAGTAAAATAAATGTGCAAGTGTGTGTGGGATTCTCAAAGGATGGCAACATTTCCCCCCATGCTACCTGGAGGGCAAATGGGGACTTCCTGGGGGCAAATAACATTTCCCCCAAAACTTTTAAGATAACTGGGCTGTTGGAAGGAACGGCAAGCCATATTTGGGCCTCCAGGAGGCTGCATGGAATTCCTGGGCTGTACTGTATGTTGCCTAACTTGGTCTATACTGAGTGGCCACTAGAGGGCACAAAGGAGCAAGAGTGCTGCGGAGTTTCAAAGAGAGGCGTCTTTTCTAGTCCTGCCCTCCGATGTCTACCAGAGGACCCGAGAGGTTTAGCAAGCAAGAGATCTGCTCTGCCCTGGTTCTTCTCCTCCCAACGGAAATGGTCTTTGCTTACTTCAGAGCGCCAGCCACGATTGATGAGGGCGCAGACGGGATGGTAGGCCCCTGTTCCACAAGCGTAGAGGTGAGTGCGGTTCAGGGGCTCCATCAGCCGTATGTAGTTGAAACATTCACCCTAGAGAGGACAGAGGAAGAAGAGCATGAGCTGGCCGGCTTCCTTCGCTAAGGGAGAAACTGGTCTAACCCCTGCTTTCTCGTCCCAGACTCTCCTCCAAAGATCATACGGCAAGGCTCAAGCTCTAGTAGATGGGGGCCTCCTCAAGGGGGGGGGTTTGATGTGCCCCATTAGCAACACAACAGCTGAAAGCCACATGTTCAGCCAGGTCACAGAATAGCAAAGGAAATACTGTGAAGGCAAGAACGGGTAGATAGATAAGTGTGCCTCCCTGAAGTGGCTCACATGAGGATGGCACACTTTTCTTTGCTCCCCTGTACAACAACAACAACAACAACAACAACAACAACAACAACAACAACAACAACAACAACAACAACAACAACCATGAGTTGGGTGAATCAAGGGCAAAATAGAACCACGGTGTTATTTGACAAATATCCACAGGAACCTAAGAGAGATGAGGCAAAGCAGCCTAGGGCTCAGAGGAGAGAATGGCAGAACAGATGACAACTACTCACCTGTTGACCTTTACCTGCCAAACGGCACTCGTTCTGGTGGTTTGGTAATGCAGGCCAATGGATCTGGGTGGGTGGGGAGGGTAGAGAGACAGAGAGAGACTGAAGATGACTTTGGGAGGCTAATATTCTTGCCCCCCCCCACCCCTTGATTTTCAGTCACTTTCCTTCAATCCTGTTGAAGCTTTGGCTAGAACCCAAGGATCCTTGGTAGCCCTCTCCTCTGCAACACCGATCCTATCCCATCCCATTTCTCTGCCCCATCCTACGACATCTGCCCACACTTTGGAGCAGACACGATGGACCTCTTGGGCCTCTCCGATCAGGTCTCTCCGTCAGGCTTACAATGAGTGGCTCCTTGTTGATATTGTGAAGATCCAAGGCCACCAGGAAATCCCGTGCCCCTAAGTAGAGCCGCTCCTGGTCTTGGTCCACCAAAAGGATGCGATAATCACTTGTGTTGAAGGTGAAACTGAAGGGACGGGCAGTGCGAGTCTCCAGAAGTTCTGGGGAGAAGAGGAGTATCCTTTGAGCCATGGGCTGTTTCCACAAGCCTTTGCTTCCAAGCCCTGCCCAGTCCCTGTTCGGGTGGCCCCTTAGCCATCCATCACCCACGACAGAAAAGATGAACACCCACAAATGCACATACAATTGTCACATGCTAATGAAGGCAAAATTTTTGAGTTGTTATAATTTATTCAAATATGCAACACATCTGACCCAAGAATATATGCCGCTATAAAAGGCAAAGCTGTGATAAGGTTACCCATGTGCCTGCTTAGTCTGTTAACCAGGGACTGTCTGGGGATGAGCAGACAAGTGGTCTGTATGTTGGACTAGACCACTTGTCAATTAAAAGGGCGCCTTTAAACAGAAGATCTGTCCCTTGCAGGGTAGGACACATGGCTACCCGGTTGCTGATTGGCGGCGGCTCCCCAAATGGAGGACAAGAGTCCTCCTTCTTCCATGAGGGCTTGGGGTAAAGGTTCTTTTTAAAAAACTACAAGCCCTTGATTTCTCTACTCAGCAGCGGCCACTGAACCTGCTGTCTGGGGGGATTCTGGGGGTTGTCAGAAGCATTTGTTTTTCTACCCTCCTCGCCTTCTCTCCTCGTGCACCAAAAGGGCAGCAGCTGGAGCCTACGTTAATCCATGTAATGGCTGGCCTGGCCTGGGCCTGGTCCAGCCCGGGGTTGGTCTGGGCTGAGCTCAAGGGGTATTTTGGTCTCATGAAGTGGCTCAAGGCAGAGAGAGCTGACGTGGGCGCTGGGGGGGGACTGCGCTCCGCAGCTGGTACAGCAAAGAGCCTAAATCCCCCAGCAATCCCCTTAGCCGCATTCCATGGGCGAAGATCAGAGAGTGGCGTGGGGAGCTTCCCACCTGCGGCGACCTTGGGGAGATGGCCAGAGGACATCTCCGACAGCCCGGTCACCCTCCAGAGCCAAGTCTGGGCAAGAATTCAGAGAACATGGGCTGAAATTGGCCCTAATCCCTCTGGACAAGTGGGCTAAAGCCTAGAAGAAGAGCAGATTTCCGGGGAGCTCAAAGAAAGACAGGTGGGGGGGGGGGTTGGGGGGGGGA